TATATTAAATTATTTAAAAAAAGTGTTTGCGGCCATCATCGTAAGTTTCACTAAACGCTTTGCTACCACTTAACATTTTATCAAAATGTGAACGCTACGAACGGTCAATCGGCGTATTCAACTCTGCTTGACAGCGGTCGGGAGATTACGGCAGATCTCGTCAGGTATAGGTACCTCAAAACCTAAAAACAATATTGTACAACCCGTGCTGTCAGTGATGACATGGATCTGAGTCGTGGTCCTTCACTGCTATGCTCAGGGTTTATGCTTGATAGACTTAAAAATAAGTATGTCCGCAGTAGAACTAGAGTTACTGACATAGCCCAACGGATTAGTAAGCTGAAGTGGCAATTGGGCCGGCCATATAGATCGTAAGATCAACAACTGATGGGGAAGAAAGGTTCTCGAGTGGCAGCCTAGTACCGGTAGGTGAAGTGTAGGGCGGCCCCCTACTAGATTGAGGGTCGATCTGGTAAGACATGCGGAAATTCAATGGATGCCGGTGGTTCAGGACCGTAGTTTGTGACATTCTTTGGGGGATGTTCAGCAGTGGACTTGTGAAGGGCTGTAATGATGATGATAATTATAATACGATTTTCGTTAATTTAGACTTGTGTTTGTGTTTTATATCAAGATATTTTAAGTGGTCATAGATATTCAACAATGAAAAACTACAGAAATTTACTTTGACATTCGGCTTCAAAATGAATTTATACTTAATAATTTAAGTAAAGAAACTTGTAGCAACTAGTTAAATGACATTGTTCTGTCCTGTTTATATTTTATTTCCACTATGTTGAAAAAGAAATTTACAGGAAAAACTGTCCATAACAGTTAGAGAATCGGAGACCCTTTTACTGGCAAAGAGGCATTCCATCTTAGATGTAGATTTCTATGGGTCACAGTAACAACTTACCATCAGGTGGACTGTGTGCTCGTTTGTCACCCTATCCTATAAAAAAACATTTTTCTCCGAGGGTCTTAGCTTGAATCATCATGTTGGCTGCATGAATTTTAAAAACATAATGGTCTTAACATAGACAAGTCAAATACGCAGGAGATATTAAAGTGCACCAAGTGTCTGAGGATACAGATGCACTCTCTATTCTCTCAGTCTCGGTATGTTAAGAGAACGGTCACACATTCATGGAAAAGAGGCATTCCATCTTAGTCCTCACGGGTGACAATGCATCTGCATTTTGATTCGGAAACGAGGATAGGTGTAGATGTCTATGGGCCACAGCAACGACGTTATAAGGTGAACGAATTTACCTATTTTTTATAATGACGATGCTATTTAAAATACGTCTACCAGCATATATATATATATATATATATATATATATATATATATATATATATATATATATAACATACTCCAAATTCATAGGCTGGGGTGGGAGGGGGGTCCACTAATCTGTGCGGTTCGCTTCGTTTGCCGGTCGTAACTTGGTTTCAATTTGTTTACATACCTACGCAACGCTACTGTGGTAACAGATAGATAACAAATAATCAAAGCTAATCTCATCCAGTAATTGCAGTTAATTGTCCTTTAGAGTAAAAGTATTATTTTATTTTCAAAATAATGTCAGGAGTGTCTTCTAAGTTTAAAAGAAAAATATCTAGTGAAAATAGATTGTTTCAAGATAAGTGGGAAACAGATTATTTTCTTGTGCTAAACAAAAACAATGCAATCATTTTCCCACAAAACATAAATCTTTCGACGAAACGTTTCCTCTTCCTGGATAAATGAGAAATTACGTTTTTTTAAGAGATCATTGTATCAACAACAAAATGTTATGTCTGTGGCATTATCACAAGACACCGCGATAACTTTGAAATTCCTACCAATGAAAGGTGAAACCCGAGGCACAGATTATCTTGATACTATTTGCAATTTTTAGGGCAACATGAAATTGACATTCAAAAAATCGTGTGTCTGTGTACAGATGGTTGTCCCTCAATGACTGGATCCGAAAATAGATTTATTTCGTTATTTAAAGAAAAATATAATTTAATCAATTTAATAAAATTTCAACGAATTTCGAAAAAGTTTACAAGATCTAAGAAAAATATGTTTTTTTGTTACTTATAGAAAATCCATGGCATTTAGAAACAACAACTATCTCTGAGTTGGCTTCAGTTTTAAATTATAATTACTCAGAGATGTTTGGTGAATTCATCGATTTTAAAAACGACACCAATCTAGAAGTTCTCTTTTTAAGAAAAAAAGGGCAAACAGGGAATATGTGGAATTTTGGAGTATTGTTGCCCAAAAATATAAAAGCGTCCAAAGATGTGCCCAAATACTACTAACATTCTTTGGGTTTGTGCGTATGTAACGTATGTGTGTGAATCGCCTTTTTCAAAAATGAAATACCTAAAGAACGTGTACAGAAACAAGCTTAAATAAATAAATAAATAAAATAAAAATTCCTTTATTTTCAAAAGTCTTATAACAAAGATTTGTCGAGTTTTCCCTTTAAGTAGTCATAGACACTTGTGTTGGGAATAACTCGCTACTTCCCTTACGGTATTCTCAATAAGACTATTAAACTATGTTTGTGTGTGTGTGTGTTTGTGTGTGTGTGTGTATGTGTGTGTGTTTATGTGTGCGTGTGTATGTCGGTCACCTGTAAACCCTACGGATGAGAGGTTCCTTGGGATCGGTATGGGTATTCCGCATACAGGTACCGACATTAAGTTTAACCGGAGATTTAATTAATTCTTATAAAAAGTTTTTCAACATCTTCATAACTAAGTGAGTCCAACCATTCTATTAAAGTTTTCTTGCAAGTGTAAGATATTATGGGGTATATTTTAAGTATTTTATTTACTTTGTTGTATATATGGGCGGACTGTCCACCATAATGTCTTCTGGCAAAAGCAGTACGTACAGCAGTGACGGGGGCAACAACATCCTTCTTTCTTTTATGACTTAGGTCGACATAAGGCAAAGATTTGTGGCACGTTAAGATGAGATTCAGAACATAGAGTTTTCGTACTGTAAGTAGACTACTCATTCTATATAGTGTATCAGTGGGAAAACGATAAGGTTTGGAGTAAATGACTTTGATAAGCGATCTCTGAGCTCTTTCAAACTTACAGATTCTCATCTGGATGATGTAATAAGGATAGCATGTAGTGACAAGCCAGATCTTGAAAGAATTTTGAAAGCGTTCACAGTATCAAAGATCGCATTAAAACATAAACATCTTGGTTAAAACTTTTTTTTTTTCAGTAATAAAGTAAATACATCGTTAATTTGGAATTACGTTTTAATTAAGACCTAAATAATTTTTGCTTGCAGCCCTCGACACCATGACTGATACGTGTTTGTGGCCCCTATAAAAAAAAGATTGAGTATGGCTGATCTAGATGCTTATTTCTTGTGTACCGAATTGTGCCGACCATAGCATGCTACATATTTATTTATCTATGGTGCCGACCTGACATTCAAAATCTGTTACAGTCATGAGATTTTGCTATCCTTTTCTATCTTGTATTTTGCCGTTTAGGAATCTTCTTTTTCGTTGCACGCTATGGCCGTCTATTCAACTTTTTCGTACATACACATACATTGATTCAACGACTCAATGTATGTACTCTATGGACACATTTAAACCTAGTGATTATATTCTCTTTGGGCACAACCCAAAGGGTATATTAATTGAGGTTTTGGCGAGAACTTGACCGACGACGCATTGCTGCTCCTGTATTATTGTTTAAATAGTGGTTTGAAGTGGATTTTGATATATAAAAGTGGTGCGATTTTATGTATTAAATATCTGCGCATGTGAACTATTAGTGGAAACGGTGAAATAAGTGCTCTGATGGTGATGTGATTCTCAAGATAAGCTGTCTGTCTGCATGGGCGCCTTGAGATACCATCGCCAACTGTCAGCTGTCTGCTGGCTCAAGTTGCCGCCAAAATCTCCTAAGAGCTGCACAATGTGACGCATCAACTTATTATGAAGCAGTGTACTATGAAGGATAATTATACATTGTAACTTCAGGCTCAGAAGGGCTTTAACCCAGAGCCGTAAAGCCAGTTATTAAGAAAGAAAAAGAAAGGGTATATTAACTGTCCTAATGCCTCCTCTACACTCCTCGCGAAGTAACTTTGACGAAGTGCTCGTCGAAGTCGATCGAAGAACGTGACTACACTCGTGCTACTTCGCGAAGAGCTCAATCGTCTTGAGTCTCCCGCACCCTTAACATGAATAACGTTCAAGAGGCAGCTGCTATAGGTACCTGATTGAGTGAACAGTACGATATTAATGCGTGAACTAAATAAATAATTAGGTAGAAAGCTACATATTTAATATTTATATATATAAAAAATATTCATAACTGGCGAACGCCGAGTAGTATAGTGAGACGCTTCATGTAACTTCGGGGTACTCTTTGCGAAGTCCTTTGACTCTGGCGCAAAAAAGCGACAGCGATCGGACGTCGCCCGAGGCGAAGCGAGGTAGCGCGAAGCGAATCGAAGTACGTACCTCTCTACATTATTCGCCTCGTCCAACTTCGATCTACTACGCGAGTAGTGTAGAGGAAGCATAACACTATCGCACAACTGTCACATTGACACTGACAGTCAGCCTCTGTCAGTGAACAGTGAACATTGAACAGTGTATTTAGTATCCACTAAGTAGTCTGTGAGTGTATTTGAAATCTGAATCAGTAATGAACTCCGCGTGATCGTTAGATTATAGATCATTAAAAATTTATTATTCATTACGTCTATATCACATCTTTATATAATATTCGTATTATTCAATTAATAATAATTGCCGCCCCTATATAATTTAAATGAATTTTATTCATGTGGTGTATAGTTTGTGTAGTTCTTGATTCTTTTAGCGTGCATTTGTGTTTGTGATTTTGTCGTAAAAGTTTAAAAAGTTATAATATATTTTAAGTATACACTATATAATCTTAAACTGAGTAGTATTTGCACATTTAAGAAATAATAAAGACACTAAATCTTGCTAACAATGATAGCCGATTCTACCCCAAGAGTTTTGTCAATCCAGAGTCATGTTGTACATGGGTATGTAGGAAATAAAAGCGCAGTGTTTCCACTTCAAGTAAGTATTTTTACTGTAGTATTGTCTTTATGTTGTACATAAATGATTGCATTTGTTTGAAGCATTTGACTATTTACAATTTATAAAATTTAATTACTATATTCTCTTAACTATCACCATAATTGTAAATTATGAAGTGTGAATCATTGTAATTGGCTAAATAAATTTTAATACGTACATACCTAAGTGTAATATAACTTTCTTTAGCTGTCATTGCTTAATTGAATATTGAAAATAAAATTTTAGGGTTAGATAAATTTTTGGGTTGGAAATTTTTGGTTTTAGAATCGAGTCACCTGATTTTTAGGAGTCTGTCACTGTGGGAGGCTCAAGGGGGCTTATCTCAAGCACCCTCATGCAATTTTAGCTGCCGGAGCTATGTTGAATTATTTAAAATTATTTTCTATATATATTCATAAATCTCTAATTAATACCTGAAACGGAACTTTTGACATTGACAGTAACAGATATACTCGACCAAAGAGAATATAATCACTATGTTTATACTTGACTTTGCGACTCGTGTCATTTCCTTGGTTCCGAGTTTACGTATCTGGAGACTGACTGCTTGCTACTTTACGACGTTTTTGGAAATGGTGAAAGTAATAAAATATGTTTACATATTAAAGTAATTATAAAAGTTAACATTTTGGTGCAAGAGCGAGCGAAGCGAGCTCGGAACTTGGGGCACCCCGACTTGGGTGGGTTAGGTTAGAAGAGGATGATGGGGTTGAGAGTGTGAGCGAAGCGAGCAAACAGACTCCTCCATCCCCTTTGTGGTTATTTTTTTATAAACCATCCAGAAAAGGAGCCCTGCTAAGCGGGGCTCTGTCGACTACACTTTGCAATTACTTCGGCGAAGGGGGACACCCTCGCTCCCTATTAAAGCGATTTTTCTCTATTTACCCCCAACATTAAGGTGACTTGATTCTAAACCTTAACCAAAATTTTTTCAGATATGGTTGTTTTAATATTGAAAATTCCTATCTGTGTATTCATAATTTATTAAATTATTTCTGACATATGACTATTTACTTATTTTCAATTTGTAGTTTCAATTTAATTAAATTTGGTTTCCAGGTCTTAGGCTTTGAAGTTGACTATATAAATACTGTACAATTTTCAACTCACACTGCTTATAAACATATCAAAGGAAATGTCTTACAGAATGAAGAAATGGAAGAACTAATACATGGTCTGGTTTTAAACCAGGTTGATTATTTTACCCATTTCTTGACTGGATACTCAAGATCGCCAGATTCATTGAAGCAAATAGCTGAAATCATCAAAAAATTAAGACAAAAAAATCCTAATCTCATTTATGGTAAGTTAAATTAAATTTTATGAAATTCCTTTATAACTACTCAACCATCCACGGTGACTACAGTCCCAAAAAAAATTATTGCCTCACCTACTACGACTATAGTCACCACATGACATCTATCGGTTTAAATGTGTACAGTGCAAAAGATAGCTGTTATTAATAGAGTAAAAATTTATAGATGGTGCTATTTAAAAACTATTAAGCCGCAAATCATTATTACAAAGACAAAATAGCATAGAGAAAATATTAAAAGCCACAATTTGTAAGGCTAATTAGAATTACACCTCACTCAGCCCAGCCATAGAACTCAACTAACACACACTGGCAAGCGGTACTCTCGCTGGAAATTAACAATTCGAGTGAACCTGATGGAATGCTTCCAACTATAGACATGTGATTCAGAGTTGGCTTAGTTTCTAACGCATCTTTTCTGGTGACCCTACCCTCTAGACATCGCCCTAGATTCATAAAAGTCAAATACTCACGAACCCTAAAAAAATGGGACCCTTCATTGTCCTCAAAACAATCGCATGCATTAAAAACTGTCAACTCGTAAGGTAGTTTAAGGAACGCCAGCTGACACTAGTCATTACAAAGGTTTTTTAGTCAACCTGACTCATTTGTAGGTGACAGCAGACAAAATAAGCTTAGCGAAAAGAAATTGTACTTAGCGAGGGTTTTTGATCTTGTTTAATACAAAACACTATTTGAAGGTTCCTTACTATGGGCTTCCCAAGAAGTTATGCGATTGCTCCACCAGTTACTTACGGATCGAAACATCAAAGTCGCCTTCATAGTCGACGGTGCATGCTCCGACACCAAGCTTGTAAATGTTGATACCACAAGGCTTTGTTTTTTCGCCCACATTGTTTCTTCTGCTTATATAGAACTGAGCACAGAGTAAATATAATTACTGATGATATCTTATTTATCTTACACATGACTGTCAATTTTCAAGATTGTCGGAACAAACTTGTCACTGAAGTCGAGGCTCTCTCTCTCTCGCTCGCTCGCTCGCTCTCTTTCTCTCTTTAATTTAGTCCAACTCGTTTTTAATGCTAAAAAGCAGTTGTAGTTATCTTGTTGTCTCAGCCAGCATCGAGATTCTCGGTTTTCACATATCATGTGACGTTCATTTCCACAGTCACCTGGAAGGAAAAACCAAATGAGTGTCCAAGAAGTTCACTATGCTTAGTAGAGCGGGACAGTATTTCATGGTTGTCCATCGCTTGAACCACTACATCCAAATGAGTTATTGTTCGCTTCTCTGGGCCGGCACATCTTTGTACCTTCTCCTTGCTCGTTGTATACAGTCTAATGACTATACAAAGAAGAGTTGCCCAAATCGTCGACGATCGCGTTCTTTCTGATAGACATTGCATCTCTTTGCATATATAGAACTGAGCACGTAAACTTCTCTGGGGAGTTATTCAGATTAATTCCAGAGGCTAAGTTCCACCACTCCACACTCAACACAGCTCTAAATTCCACTTGCATTATCTCGATTGTTTGCACATTGTCGAATTTACTAAATAGTATTAGGGTCAAACTGGCTCACACGACGCGTCGTACCTGATAAATCAGCACTTTGATTAACAATTTCAATGATTTTTCATGCTATAAACATATTTCATGTTTTGTTACACTGCCATGTTTCGTTTCGCAAATAATGAAGATTTTTATCTCAATGCTAAACCTATATTTTTCCACATAAATAATTACCCATTATTATAAATAACAGTACTTCCTATTTACAACATATTCGCCTAATTAATTAAATAAACGAAAAGTAAACAAATGTTACTTATATAATATATAAGTTCGTGAACGGTTACGGTTCTAATCTATACATCTATAAATACAAATAAATAAAATTGAAGTGTCTGTTTGTAATGTCAAAATTACAGTTTTTTTTACTAAATGCAAATGAAAGAAAATATGGTACCTATAACTAAAATACAATTTTTAAAATGTTTGTCTGTATTGCCAAGTCAATCTATGTATTTAAAACATAAAAGATTTTTAATATTGATATGGTCACTATAAGATGTTAGGTTAGCTAATTACGTAATAACTTGAGACAGAAGGACCCTTAAGTAGGGACTGAATAAAATAACCAACTTGGTATTACATGGATCTCACAACCTTTTACGGTAGAAGAACTGAGTTGCGAGACTTGGTTTTTTTTACAAGTTATGTTTTTGATGGCATCTCATTTCTTTTTGTAGATAGTCCTACTTTTTTCCTTTCCGGTACCATCTACTTCTTGAATACCAACTAGGGATTTTCACATAATTATACAACATGATTATACATTTCAATTAAAATTCAACATTATTATATCTAGGTACCTATCTACATCTATTATACAGGTACATTGATTCATTCACTGCAAATGTAACTTTGTAATCCTATATATTTATATAGTATTACAAAGTTACATTTGCAGTATTATTATTTATGCAGTTGGTGTATCTAAAAAACTGGACCGAAATTACAAAATATTTTAATTTTTCCTTGATTTATACACTAAACTCTAATTGTATTCTAAATTTGAAGCTTCTAAGTCTGCTAGAAGTGCCTTAGAATTTTGATGATCAGTCAGTCAGTCAGTGAGTGAAAAAATTCTTAAACTACTGGTTCAAATTGAATGAAACATTTATACGATGCATGCTTGGTTACTGAAAATTCAGGCTTCTAGTTTTATCCACAACGACGTTATAGGGGGTCAAAAATAACCTGAACTGCTTCGAGAAAAGGATGGTACGGCCGTGGCGCTTTTTTGCTCGACTTGGCGGGGGCACTGCCGTGCCCCCACATTATAAACAATGCAAACAATATTATGCCCTGAGCCATGTTAATATAATAGCGGTCCGCCTTGGTTTCGCCTGTATAGGATCTATCTATGTTGTGGCAATATATTATTTAATTCAAATCAAAGTTCAAAGAAGAATCAAAGATATTTGTTTTGTTTTACGATTTGTTAAAAAAATCTCGAAGTTTTTCGGACAAAATATAGTCTAGATCAGTCCTGGCAATGTTTTCGTCATGTTTCATCACAATCGGTTCTGCCATTCCGAAGATTATCCCGGGCAAACAGACAGACAAAAAGTTTAAAAATGGTTATCATGTCTTAATGGCATGCAAATAACTAAAATATAAAATACGAGGGTGGATTGAAAAGTATTCGGCCTAACACAGATCCATTCAATTCTAAAAATAAAATCTACCCACATTATTTAGTTCAGTTCAGACTAGTTCATTGTGTGAAGTCCGAAACGTGTGCGATAATTAGTTGTGATTTTATAAATTTATTAACAAAGTAATCGGACATAATTTCCGCGAATGGAGCAAATCGAGCAGCGTGCCGTCATTAAGTACCTCCATAAGAAGGGGCTATCATCAAAAGCCATCCATGATGACATGGTCAGTACATTAGGCGATTGTGCTCTGTCATATTCATCCGTCAAAAAATGGATAGCAGAATTTAAGCGTGGTAGAGAGAGTGTGAAAGATGAACCCCGCTCTGGAAGGCCTTCGACGTCAACTACTGACGAAAATATTAAAAAAGTACTTGATTTAATAATGGGAGACCGCAGATTAAAAATTAGAGAGATAGCCGAGATTATAGGCATCTCTTATGAACGAACTCAAAACATCATTGTCAACGAGTTGGGTTTCCACAAGGTGTCTGCGAGGTGGGTTCCGCGACTGCTTTCAGTTGAACAAAAAAGGACGCGATTGACTATTTCACGCGACTGTTTGGAGTTATTTGAAGCCGATGCAGATGATTTTTTGAATCGTTTTGTTACTATGGACGAAACATAGGTTCATTACTGTACACCGGAAACAAAACAAGAATCAAAACAGTGGAGAAGACCTGGTTCACCACCCCCTAAAAAGGCTAAGTCGATTTTGTCGGCAAATAAGGTGATGGCTTCAGTATTCTGGGACTCGAAAGGTGTGATTATGATTGATTATCTTGAAAGGGGTCAGAATATAAACTCTGATTACTACTTCACCTTACTACGTCGTTTACGAGAAGAAATAAAAGAAAAACGTCGAGGAATGCTCAGAAGAAAAGTCCTGTTTCATCAAGATAACGACCGTGTTCACACGTCAGTACAGTCAATGGCTGAAATTCACAACTGTGGCTTTGAACTGTTACCGCATCCGCCGTATTCACCTGATCTGGCACCATCAGACTTCTTTCTGTTCCCTAACCTAAAAAAGCTCTTGGGAGGTCAAAGATTTTCGACAAACGACGAGGTCAAAGCAGCTGTAGACGCATATTTTGACTCTAAGGAAGAATCATTTTTTTTCAACAGTCTAAATGCTTGGAAGGGGAGGTGGCAAAAGTGTATTGAACTTGATGGTGATTATGTAGAAAAATAAAAATATAACTGATTTAGTATTTATTTTCTTGGTTAGGCCGAGTACTTTTCAATCCACCCTCGTAACTAAAATAAAATATGAATGAAATTGAAGTGTATGTCTATAAAATTCTATATTACAGACTGACACTCCCATTTTATTTATATGTATGGATATGGCTCAGGGCTTAATATATATTATAATTAGATACGTATTCTTTATGATCTACATCTAGTTGCAATGCATCATAATCATTACAATTTACGACTTTGTTAGTAACATTTTTATGACCTATTCGTTTATATTCTCATTATTAAACTCGCACAGCATGTAGATTTATGTCACTTTAATCATAAGGTAATAAAACAATACAACAACATCAATAATGCCAGTTTCTAATAAAAAAATCCGTAAAATAGTCATCTCGTAGCTTTAACGTTCTGGATATGATTGTAAAATGTATCTTATCTAGTCAAGCAATCTTAAAACGCTTAGTGTCGTGTTAATCTATACTTTATAATATAATAAAGCGGAAGAGTTTTTTTGTTTGTTTAAACGCGCTAATCTCTGGAACTACCAGTCCGATTTGAAAAATTCTTTTTGTATATTATAGATAGATTCATGTGGAATAGTATAGGCCAACTAGAATTAATCTATATCACTCAGCTAGCCTTAAATATGGATATTTGTTAAGCAAGTCAGAAGAAAAAGCACTCCCGAAATGATTTATCCGCGTACGCTGGTGTTATCGTTAGGGATACGTAAATACAATGTTCTAGAAAAATATAATAGATCTTTCCTCCGTCTAAAAAAAAGTCCGCGATACCATATGTCTATTTCTTATACATGAGCCATAATTAGGTATTTTGTGACAAAAATATATTGAAAATTTAAAAGTGATTTACGAGCGTTATTATTAGGTATGGCCTATTTATCCTTACGAACGAAAATTACTTCATCATCAAGAAAATTTTATGAAGATAAACTTTGTTCCTTATACCATGTTATTTGGACGCATAGTTTAAGAGGTAATGTAAAATTAAAATAATTCAATACTTGGCTGGGCGCGCGAACGACGCATAAACCCTAGCCGCCCGGTGAGAACGTGAGGGGGGGGGGGAGGATGCTCAACCGGGAGGGGGAGGGAAAGTGGATAAAACTTACCTTCACTCTACATCATATATAATATGCCGACAGATAAAAGTACTCCACTAATTATGCCAATTTTTCCATCCATTGCTATCAAATAAAATATTTAATTGCAATTATAAAATGTTTGAACTAGGTCATGTCGCGCAAAACCGACACGTGATGACGCGGGTGAAACCGCGGGGCACAGCTAGTGTTAACATAAGCTTAACATACATTTTAACTGCAATTATAAAATGTTTGAACTAGGTCATGTCGCGCACCTCCGACATGTGATGACGCGGGTGAAACCGCGGGGCACAGCTAGTGTTAACATAAGCATAACATACATAACATAAACACTCATGCCTGTCACCCAGAGGGGTAGGTAGAGACTATGGACTTCCATTTGGCACTATCCTGACACACATTTCTCGCCTCGTTTACATCTATATGTACTTGTAAACGCCGAGCATGAATGCGTACTTGCTTGGCGATTAAGGGTACTCCTAATTTGGCCCATTTTCAATATCTCGCCAATATGGTTGACAAACTTTCGTCTAGGGCGTCCCATGCTTCCATGGCGGCTCTGCCGTTCACTTCTGCAACATAAGTTTGCTTTTTCACTCTTTCCTAGTTCATTTTTTCTACAAACCACCGAAGCATTCCTTTCTTAATCCTGGTCACCACAGCTTGCAAATCAAATATTTGTCTTATCACACAAGTTCTCACCCTGTCGGATTCAGACCTAACATACGCCTTAATCACCGCATTTCTGCAACATTTATTCTACTCTCGTGCTTCTTCTGCCACAACTAACTTTCACTACCATATATTAAGATAAGGACTAACACAACATTGTAAATTGCCATAAGTTCTTTTTTTGGACACTTTCTGACTTCCCACAATAGAGTAAAGCGTAAGTCCGGTCGTGCATGGAGTATTGCTGCCATATATTAGCTGGTGCTGCAAAATGCCACCTAGCAGCTTTTGGGCTTAGTGTAAATGCGTGCTAAGAGGCGTATTGCTGAGTCTGGTTAAAACCAATCTCACCAGCCTCGAACGCAGGTACAAAGTATCCACCCTTTGTTTTTCTACAGGATGCAATTTGGAGAGTGTGCGCAGGAATTGCATAACTTATTCCTCCCACTCCCTTCCACCATCGGAACCATACGCTCGGCCAGTCTCCACCCTTTCATTGTCGACTAACCAAAAGTGTTCCTACATCGTTCGTCATGCATACAGCTAAGGAGTGGAATAAGTTGCAAAGCATCTGCCTTTTCACCCGTTTACAATATAGTTGTCTTCAAGGCAAGAGTGAATAGGTTTTTGATAATTTCCTCAGAATAGTATCTGGAATCGATGCTAAGACATAGCGTATTTAAGAATGAAATTTTTCTGTTATGTATTTTGTTTGCCAAAGTAAAACATGTTTTATTATAAAATAAAACAAAGTAGGTATTAAATACTTTTCATATGATTTTGCACATTTATAAGAATGTTTTAATTGTTTTGGTTTTTGATGGAATAGGTTAAAAAAGATACTTTTGTCTGAATTTAGTCGTATACGAGTACAATAAAGCGGGATAATTGGCGTCCTGCACACATCTTTCGCAGGAGTGAATGTGTTCGAAAGGTTCTAGAAACGGGACGTCCCGTCTCTCATGGGTAGGTTGGTGCCTATTCGTAACAATACTGCATTCGCCAATCCGCTTACCAAGCGTATAATGGTATATTCCCAAGTAATGAGAGAAACAGCAGTATTACAGACTAATAAAGAAGTAGTAGCACGTTTTAATGAATCCAAAGCTATACGTAGAGGTGACCTGAGCACTAACTGTTTTATTTATCATTCTGATTTCCTGACTAAGCTTCCTGAATCGACGATAGATTGCTTTCGACGGGAAGCCTCGTCAGGTCTTCTCGTCACTCATACCGCAAAGCTTGAAAACAAAGTCTTCGACCGATAGTGCCGAAACGTGGTCATTGATGGTACGATTACTCCACAAAGTCGCTCAGCAAGAGATGTAAAAAGGATATCTTTATACTTTTCTCGAGTGGAAAGTATTCGTAACAAAGAAATTCGCCGGAGAGCCAAGGTCACCGACATAGCCTCCCGTATTTGCAAGTTGAAGTGGCAATGGGTTGGTCAGAAGCGATAACATTAGAGAAGACGTGTCATAAAGTGGGGACGCCCTCTAGCTAGACGGAGCAACGATCAGCGCAAGGCAGCTGGCAGCAACTGGATGCGTGTATCCGAAGATCGGGTGCGGTGGTGCGCCTTGGGAGAGGTCTATATCCAGCAGTGGATTGCGGCAGGCTGATGATGATCATGATTATGTTCTGATTTGCCACGTAACAAGTGTTACCATCACTTTGAATCTGTTGAGTTTTTAATAATGTTGAGCGAGTGTGAATAAGTAGCAATAATATTTTTTATAAATAAAAAAGCCCGAGATCGTTAAATTATAGAACTACACATGGTTTTAAACAAGAAGCAGTTTATAGGTCACATATAGACCGATAGCTAATCTTGTAGAATAAATAACAGAATAATATGTACAAACAACATTACATAACTATATGTATTTAACATGTTGACGCAATTCAAACAATTATTATAGCAAATCGTTTCAATATTTGTAATTAGCTAATTAGAATTAACGTTGCTTGCACTTTTTTCGTTACAATAACTACTTACTAAACGTTAAGAACAAGCTTGTGTGTAAACCATAAAAGTAGGTCAACATTGAAACTGCCGTCGAACGTATTTTTACTCATCGTAGTATGATGTAACGAACAATGTCTAATTGCTTTAATATACGTTAAAAAATTATTATCTCTTAAGTCCGGATTCTCGTGTTACAAAATATTACAGCATTCGAACAAATGAATTCAAAATCTCAATTCCGACACTTAATTACCATTTCGTGTTTTATGCCGCTTAGAAATGGAACAATGTGTATCCGTTGTCATACAAAGCCTAACTTCGTTCTTTCAGCCTTTCCTAATGATCCAAACTTCCATAGAGTTGATCGAAAAGTTGTGAACTAATTATTCGTTTATCTTACACTGTCCGGTTCCCAGTCACAATAGTAAGAGAATAGCAATTACTCATATGCGAGTCACGGAACAGTGAACGTATTAAGGCCCAACTTCTTTTATAATGTTTGTTGTTCTGCCAACCAATATTACATTTATTATTCACCGAAACAAGCAAGTGTAGTAAATTAAATATTGTCTAAAATATAAAGGAACATATGTTTTTTATGTGGTAGAGCCATGCTGCAGCTATATTAGTATTATAAAGCAATATTAATAGTTAAGAGTATAGTTATAGCACAAAGGGGGCGACTCGATCGGAGAAGGACCTCGCTCTCACAGAGTACCAGCGTAAAATAGCAGCTTAACGCTGCTGTTTCGTATGCTGAGTGTAGAGAACCGGAGACCCTTTTTACATTCCATCTTAGTCCTCACGGGTGACAACGCATCTGCATTTTAATTCGTAATCGAGGATAAATGTAGATGTCGCAGCAACCACTTACCATCAGGTGGACTGTGTGCTCGCTTGTCATCCTTATCCTATAAATATCATTTTAAGTGCTTAAAAATGAGTTTCTTACCAGAAAACTTGTAGTAATCACATTTTATATATTTTATTTTATAAATAATATACTAAATGTATTGTTTTAACCAATTTTCTAGTGATACTATGTACCAATTAATTTAGCTTTTCCGATAATATTTTAGTTACCGTTTTTTTATTGTAACAATTATGTTTTAGATATCCAACATGCCCAGAAATAGGATTTACGTTTACTTAATGCTGTGTGCTGTTTTTCAATAAATTAAAATGTTTTTTTATGAAATTTAAGTCACAAACGAACTCACAGTCCACCTGACGGCAAGTGGCTTCTGCAGTCCATGGACACCTGCAGAAAACTTCAAACAAAAAAGGCTACAGATGCGTTGTCATCTCTGGGAATTAAGATGGATGCCTCACAGGCTGATATTATACTGGATCACTTTTACCCTTTAAAACGAAACACAGCAGTGCCACCACAGCTATTTGAAAGCAGAAATAAGTTAGGCAGTACTTACCCAGACATACTTCTAGTCGAAAAAGGACCACCACCTAGGGAGTTCATTTTATTTTGTTCTTACACGATATCTCCGAGATAATTAATTGATATAGCAATGTTTTAATTTAACTATAGAGTACGCTGAATTCCATTGCTCCCATATAAATTTACACATTTTATAAATTTTAAGGTCCGATGATATTTGTAATCCGTGTAAGTATATATTTTATAACGCCGAATTCAATTATTTTTCCAGTATGCGACCCGGTTATGGGCGACAACGGCAAAATGTATGTACCGGAAGATATCCTCCCAGTGTACAGGGACACGGTTGTCCCCCTGGCGGATATAATAACGCCGAATCAGTTCGAAGCTGAACTAATAACCGGAATGAAAATGAATGACCTGAGTGGGGCTTTGAAAGTCATACGCGCCCTTCACGAGAAGGGCGTCAAAACTGTTGTTTTATCAAGCACGGATCTAGGCGACGATAAAAATATGATAGGAATTGCTAGCACCAAAGGTAAGGTATTTATAGAAACACTAGCTGTTCCCTGCGACTTCGCCCGCGCGCCCGCCAAAATAGCTCACAGATTACAGATTTTTTTCAGACTTACTTTAACATTATATAATATTTTATATAATGTGAAGTAAGTCTGGAAAAAACATAGATAATACTTAAACTTATAAGGCTGTTAAGAGGATATCTTGAAAATGAATCGTAGTTTTGGGGGCGTGGCTTAGCTGTTCGTCGATGAAGTTCACGGACGACTGAGTGTCAAAATGAAAGTGATGCAATTACTTTATGTACGCAAATTATGAGATAGCTACACTGAGCACGCGCTCGGAAATTACGTTAGCTCCAAACAACATTTTATATTTTTAACAAAATTACGCCATGGATTAAAAAATTGTTTTTATGTACTTAGATATGATTATTTATTATTCTTTAAAAATAATTCCATGAACTAATTCATAAAAGAATTGTGGTGGCATAGAGAAATAAAACTAATTAGAGGCTACTCCACATTTTTTTTCTATCGAGAAAATTACATGTTATCGTGTTTTCTTTTTATGCAATTTAAGATCATATAGTCAAAAACATATACCAAAAATTTGGTTTGTAATCTATATAAAACTTAAAGAAATATGTGAAATAAAAAAACCACCAAGTTTTCAAGGTATCACCTTAATAAAGATAATGATTTCCTTTTAAAATCCTGCAGTGCGATTGTGTGTCTGGTAGGAATAGTTATTGGCTTCGTTTTGACGTTTTCTTTTCGTTGTACTTATTGTGTAAATGTATCAGTATCTATTTTAAGCCGATGTCTTCTTATATTTCATCTACTTAGATTCCAAAGTGTCATAATGAAAACATGACGCAGAACAACTGCGTCATGTTTTTAATTCCCGCCGACAGACGAATTACCACCAGAGTTATACAATCGTACTGCATTTACCTAAATGTGCACCGTTTCAGCCACCGCCCTGTGGTCAGGAATAGAGAGGTTGTGGGGAACAGCAGCCATTTTCGTTTATTTAGCTAAATGAGACCATATCTAGATTTCCTTTAATTTCGTTATGTAAAATAAAATCCATAAATAATTTTTAAGATCATTCCTTTAAAATTCTAATCGAAAAATTTAGGTTCGTGTTACAAAATCGACATTCCAAAAGTTGACGCAACGTACACGGGAACTGGAGATTTATTCGCCGCCCTGTTCCTAGCCTGGTCTCACAAAACCAACAACGACATTAAGCTGACACTCGAGAAGACCATCGCAACCCTACAAAGTATTGTAAATGATACCTACGAGAAGGCAAGAGGTATGCGATCGCAAATATTTTTAATGATTTTTTTATATCCTCAGTGCGAGAATGGAATAGGTACGTAAGCGGCAAAGATCCCATTCAGATTCACATTGTATTTACACAGTTCACATAAAAAATCTGTCTGTCTGTGTGAAATGGAATGAGCAAGTGATTGCGGATTAGCCATTGATGGCGTCAAATGTGAAATTTCGTATTATCCATTCTTATGACAGGATATTGGAATTCCACAATCCACCCCTGCCTATTAAGCAATATAATTTACATGTCTACTTTTATAGTCTACTTTCTATAATCGAACTAGAAGCATGGTGGGTTTTCATTTTTATTTAGAATAGCATTCCGACTAAGCGTTTGACTTCACCATTAATCATTCATACAGCTGTTGCTGTTTGTGAATTGAAATAATTTGCCTGCCTCAGTATTTCAGTCCGAAAGCAATGTGGATGTCTTCAAAAGAGAAGTGAATATACTTCTACTTCAAGTGCTTATTATCATCCAAGACTTCATCACACCTGTCGCCAGGTGGATCGTAGTTAAGCACTAGCTTACAATTTATAAATTAATGTTAATTGCGCCTCTAGGATGAAGACCAACTTAGAAGTCGCGGCACGTAAGTCTAGCGCTGAACGAAACGTGGAGGGGACGCGCACGAATTGAATTTCACGAATGCAAATGGAGAGCCAATCAGGGCGTGCGAAAGATACGTACGAGCCAGTCAGACTTAGACTTTCGTGCCGCTACTTATACATGCTTATTAGCTAAGTTTTTATATTAATATGATTTACAGTCTGGTGAACGCTTTTTCTGGGTCTAATGAAGTGACAAGCCACTCGCAATATTATTTTTAACCGACGTCAATATCGTTATATGTATGTATGTATGTATGTCAAAAAAGAGGAGATACTCAATTTGCGTTTTTTATGTGTGTTACCTCATAACTTTTTTTTGGGTGAACCGATTTTGATCAACGTCTGAAAAGATGGTTGTACAAAATTTTTATAATTTTACCACTTGTTATCAATGTGATAAAGACATTATTATAAGTTAAACTGGAGGTCAATCGACGGATTCAACTCGGCTGGGCAGCGTTCGGGAAGCTACGACACATCTTCTCGTCAGACATACCTCAAAACCTTAAAACAAAATTGTACAACCAGTGCGTGTTGCCAGTGATGACTTACGGAACTGAGACGTGGTACTTCACTGCTGGCCGTATGAGGAAGCTCAAGGTCGCTCAGCGAGCTATGGAGAGGGCAATGCTCGGAGTTTCTCTGCGTGATAAACTTAGGAATGAGGATATCCGCAGTAGAACCAGAGTAACCGACATAGCCCAACGGATTAGTAAGCTGAAGTGGCAGTGGGCCGGCCATATAGCTCGAAGAACCGACAACCGATGGGGAAGAAAGGTTCTTGAGTGGCAGCCTCGTACCGGTAGGCGAAGTGTAGGGCGACCCCCCACGAGATGGAGTGACGACCTGGTAAGACATGCAGGAAGTCGATGGATGCAGGTGGCTCAGGACCGTGCTCTGTGGCATTCCTTGGGGGAGGCCTATGTTCAGCAGTGGACTTATGAAAGGCTGTAATGATGTAATGATGAAACTGGATTGACTAAAGCTAGCTCTGTATTGTGTTCTGTATTATAATTTTGTTTATTCCTGTAATATGAAGTTATGATGTATTTTGCAGCAAAACAATCTACGGGCAAAATTCCACCAGCGCTCATTGAATTAAGACTTGTACAGAACAAATCGATTATTGAAGACCCTAAAATAACAATCCACGCTGTTGAGATTAAATGAAATTAGTTGTCTTTGTTTTAAATTTTGTCTATGTGTATATTTAGAAGAATCTTTAATCACAAGATATAATCTTGTGTTAATAGTGAATTTAGTTTTATTAACTTATAAATCAAATCAAAACACTAAATAAATAATGTATTTTAGGTCACAATTGTGTCATAATATTATATTGAATTAATGGCAAATGTTTCCTTATTGAAGGAAAAATATATTTTTATTTCTAAATCTATATTTATTATAACAGGCCTGTTTTTATTTGTAAGTAAATATTTAATATGACGACGACAATAATACATATAAAAATGAAATATGCATTCCCGAAGATAATTTTCTAAATAGATAAAATTTTATATGGATCACTTACTGACATATTTTGTTTAATAAGTAATATTTTAATGTCTAATAAAACCATTATAACGAAGAAAGTGCAATCATGATGACATTGAGATAAAACTAGTTCTACGGATTTTATCGCGCATATTAACTTATTTTCAATTACCAGTCCGTACTGGTTTACATAAAGATTTCTTATGTTTACGCGAACACTACACATTTAAATAATTGTAACTATCTACAGTAAAGCTGTGTGAATACTTCTGTGTAGATCTTACTAAATATAATTTTTTCTAAATAAAATCAATTTACAATAATTAAAAAAGGTTTTTCTTCACAGTAGAAGAGACATCAAAATGGGGTAACTTCTATTTCTTACTTGAATTTGTGTACCGCTTGGGGATTCCATTTGACCAATGTTTATTGGATAAATAATGTTCTATGTTCTGTACAGTTTAGGGCTAACACCTAGTGCTTAATATTGACATATCACTGAACAAAGTTTTTAATCTATAATTCGTATTTCACACGACTGTTGAGCAAATCTAATTGCGGTATTGGTTTGGCATTAAAATCAGATAAATAACAATATAAAGACAATAATCTATTAGGAATAAATAAGTTTGTATTGTATTATGATTGTAGCTGCAGTACCTAAGTATATAATATGATATTAGTACAATATTATAAAAATGCTAGTTGTCAAATTAGATAATTATATCTTCTACGCTTTATTTTCAAATATCAATTAATTAAAAAAAATCATTTAAAGCATTATTCTCAATTTATATAATATTTGTTTTTGTAACCCAGCTTAAATAATTTAAAAATTGGCAAAATATGCCAATAAGCGTTTCTTACGGCATTGTGAAGTTTATTTATAAAATGATAGTTCATCTTATCTGTATGATAAGTCTATTTGACCAATAAACTGTCTTCCACTTATTTTTAAGATATGTCTGTGATAGAAAGAATAAATGCTTCTCAAATTAGCCTTACCAAATGTTTTTAATTCTGTTAATTTTTATTTGTGTTATATTGATCATTGATTTTATGCACAATGTGTCTACCATTCGTTATTATTTTAAATAAATATTAACATAATGTTTGACGTTTTTATTTTTACTTTCATATTTCTTACCTCTTTACCTACGTAAACGCGATCAAACGTTACATTATAATTAGTACCCCCCAAGTACTGGCGGTCCTAGCCTACATAGCCTACGTCGTGGACGATTTGCGCCACTCTGCTAGGTACGGTCATGTGGAAGGAGCTGGCACTGGGGCGCCATGGTCCAGAGATGAGAGCTGTACTACATGTGAGGGCGAACTTGCGCCTTGTAAAGTTGCAAGCGGTGTGCCGGCATGCTATACTGTCCCACCTTGCTGAGTACGCCAAGCTTTTTAGAAGCCAATTTAATCTTCCCTTCGATATGTCGATGCTGAGGATTCCGATGCTAGCTGAGGCAGGAACGCCCTGAAATTGAACAGATCCGGATACTGGAGCACCCGTCTTCAGCACTATAGGAGGGACTCCATCAGGCCCACTCGGCTTATTGACGTCCAGGGAGAGGAGTGCTTCGCACACTGAGCGCTGTGTAAACCGCACATCCAGCATGGAGCAATCACACCGCGGGATAGTCTGCGGTGTGTACGACCCGTCATCGAGAGGACGACGTATTTTTGAGACAAGAGTTGGACTCAAAAAGAGAACCTAAATGATCGATTTTCCCCTTTGCGGCATGGGTCAGTGGGTCGTTCTCCCTGTCCAGAGATGGAACAGTTGGTCGACAGAAGTTCGCTTGGACAGCCTTTGCACAACACCTTAATAAAATTAGACGCAGAGAGGGGGAGCTTGACCAGTTAAAAGTCTTTGAATCACGTCCAGGCAGTCTACGAAAGGTACCAAATAATACAGTCTTATTTTTACAATATATTTATTTGTTTTGTACGAAAAATAAACAAAGAGCAACAAGTAAAATACTTGCGGCACTTACTCTATTATCAATTTATAATATTAATTAAAAAAAATTATTCAGCACATAAGTGTGCTTGCAAAAGTAAGTTCAGCGCACCTCTAAGCCTTGCGTCTTAGGCTCCAGCCTTGTTAGCCTGTGGGTAAATCAGGCCCTGCGCGTTGTCTCCCTTGAGAACTAAGATAGAATGTTTCGTTACCAGTTGAAAGAGTTCTTTACACGAAACATAGCTGCTTTATTAAAGCTGATATTTTATACTGATATTCTGTGAGAGCGTGGTCCTACCCCGGACGATCCAACTTATTCCGGTTGCAACGACGAACAGCTGCAGCGTAGCTCAACAACATCCAAAGAGAAAGTGACAGCCTATATACCTACGGCCCGCATCTGAGAACACGTACATGCGTATGTTAACTTTTTTAGTATTAAAATAGCTACCAAGCGCAATATACTTCACCTCAAACCAACAAAAAAAAATAGTATACCTAACCACGAGGCGTAGCGTGGATTAATATAAACATGGGCGAAGTCGCATCAGCGAGGCCCCTTTTCTTTCAGATCTACCCAATAAATCTATCCACCATACATTATTAGACACGACATACCTACTCATAGCTATTAATTCTCGACAAGTCTCGTATTCCGTCAATCTTTGAAGGTAGTTACAATGGCCTCTAAGTCGTTTTTTAAAAGAGGCTTCTTGCAAGGCCCCAAAGAAACACGCTTTTAATTTTGTGATGTTCTTTTTCGAGCGTAAAAGTTATCAAATTAATTAGTCATCTGTGTGGTCTGTAGTAAAGTCGAGGGGATCGCATTTAAGGCCCCTTTAAGTGCGAGGCCGTTGGCGAGGACCCACTTCGCCCACGCCTAGCTACGCCACTGCCTATAACAAATGATCACGCAAAACTGAAAATTTTGATCGCAATAATCCCTCATAATGACATCCCGAGGACATTAATCGGTACGACGGTAACCTTAGTTCCACAACTTGCAACGTTGTAAAGATGTAAAGCAATGGATGCAACTATAATATAGTCGTAGCTCGAATGCGTCTGCTCGTCTAGAGAAAGACGCGGCTCAGAAGGGAAATCGGTCTGTAGTTCTTCAAGACAGCGTTGTTCCCTTTCTTGAAGAACAAGACCACCGCACTTCTGCTCCACGCCTCCGGAGTAGTCCCACAAAGGAGGACGGAATTAAAGAGCTGCTGAAGGACTTCAAGTACCGGTTTTCCACCCGCTTTCAGAAGTTCCGCTCGCCTGGGGCCTTGCCATTTTTAAGGTGCTGGAGAGCCACTTTAATCTCACTCAGACTGACGTCCACTGGCAATTTTTAGCACCCCCTGCCCCGCCGTTACCATGATCGCCACCGTAGCCAGGAAGAGCGGGGCCGGCGGGGACTGGGAGCCGTCTCTTCGTAACTTTCATTTCTTTGATATTTGCCATAGTTGCTTTGCCTCGCTTGGCGAGCGGGTTGGCAACCGCAGTTTTTTTTATTGTAATTTGCTGTCGGCTCTTACGACCACCAGGGGAAGATAAGTGGATATTCTTAACCGCCACTACAGGGCTTACCATCCTATTGTTATGTGATATTTCAAATAAATATTACTGTGATATTCGATTATTTACTTTATTTTGCTTACAAATACATCTCACACTATAATTTATATCTTGAGTTTTCATGAGGACATTCGAATTAAGTGTCACTTCGGCTTTTAAAAATAGCCACAGCAATAATCATTAAAACCAGCAATATTACATGGAATATCCAATAAATGGAGTTATAATATTTTAGGACGGTGGCCGTGTCAGGAACGACATAACATGGCGTTAAATACAGCAGGCAAAACATGCGCATTATAGAAAAACCGATGTCCCAAGGTAATTTCATCTGTAAAAGATGTTTTAAAAATTAGATGTGATTTATCTTCGCAATTTTATGGATTTGGACAAAAGGAGCCTTGTCAGAGGCAAAAACAATATTATCTATGTAGCTATGTACATAGATAATATTGTTTCATTAATGAATCGCAATGCAAAAGTTAAATATTAACTTTTAAAAAAAATCTCTTTTTAAGTCCCTTGGCCTCTCTCATAATATTACGATCCCCAAAACAAGGTTCAGAAATCGTTGAAATAGGTAAACCGATCTTGTCAAAATATCTACGTGAGTGAACAGCTATCAGCGACAGGTTTTTATGTCCACAAGCAAGAACTCTAATTCCTATCAAATAAGATTCTTGAGGCTATTGCAATTAGACACGTATATAATCAAACAAATAGCTCTCATAGTAGCAAGAGCATCTTGAAAATATTTTCCAATGCAGCGGTAGAGTTTCGAGAATATAACGTCACCCTGTCTTACACCCCTCTGACTCTTTGCAGTTGGATAGGTTTCGTACATTGGTTTTGTGCTTTACACGCATAGCCACCGTAGTCTTCCTGAACAAATACTTCACCACTGCAACTTACTGACAGTCAATCACCGCTGAAACCGCAACGAACGACAGCTATCGGTTAAGATTTTTAACATTATGCAATAAATGGAGGATAATAAATAGTATATAAGTATTTTATATGGGCTAGAAAAAATGACCTGTTGAGATCTAAGGAATATTTCATCCATCCGTTCATCCATTACAGCCTATATAAGTCCACTGCTGAAGATAGGCCGGTCCCATAGATTGGGAGGATT